CAGTTGCAGTAGAGGCCTGGCAGAGCATCACCAGGGATGAAACCCAGCGTCTGGTGATGTCTATGCATTCCAGACTTCAGGCTGTAATTGACTGCAAAGGATTTGCAACCAAGTATTAAAAAGTGAAAGTTTGATTTATGATTATTATTCGGTCTCATTACTTTTGGTCCCTTAACAAGTGGGAGGCACATATGCAAACTGTTGTAATTCCTACACCGTTCACCAGATTTGGATGTAAATGCCCTCAAATTAAAGCTGACAGTCTGCAGTTAAAGCACATCTTGTTCGTTTCATTTCAAATCCATTGTGGTGGTGTATAGAGCCATAAATGTTAGAATTGTGTTGATGTCCCAATATTTATGGACCTGACTGTAAATAGATACCATGGAGAAAGAACAGGCACAAAAGTAAAGGACATTACTCACAGCATTAACAGGTGAAAATATAAGAAAAAAAAAAAAAAAAGGACTAATGCAAACACCAAATCTAAGAATTGGTAAGCTTTTCCCATTATCAAAGTTTCCTTGTCAGCCCATCTGCATACAGCATACCTGATTGATTTCTAGTGCCGAGTCTCGCATTCTGCCATGCAGGGGGCAGGGGATTAGGGTCATACCAAACTAAATGTAGGTCCTTGTTGCATATAAAATACATTTAATGCTTTATGCATGCACACATAGCAACATTCATTCATCTATGCCCTTTGTATATGCTTGGAAGTCCAATCTAAAGTGTAACACCTGCCATATAAAGAATATAGAGGGGAAGGTTTATAACCTTGGTCTTTGTTTTTTAGGTGAATTAAACAAATTCTCCCAAGTAGGATATAAATTCATCCATTCTGACAAGGTCAAGCAGCTTGATTTGCTTGTCAATTGTCGTTATGGAGAAGCCATCTACAAAGTGCAACTCCATCATGTGGCTCTGTAAAATCTGTAGCACTTGACAGAAATGTGAAATCCAGAAGCACTACCTCTCCAATCGAGTACCTAAAAAATACGAGCAATCAGTACTGGACTCAGGCTATCAGCATCCAGTCAAAACTGAGATGAGAGTTCAGGCAGAAATAGTGTGAGAACCTGTTTGAACATTTTTTTTTAAATCTGGTTGCAACCACAGTTTATAATAAAGTGTTCTGTGGTGTATAATAAAATCAATTTCAACGTGGTTATATGTATTTTTTTCATAAGAGAGAGACAACATCAAGAAACGTAAATTGGAATGTGGTTGTGAAGGAACTACAGTAGCATTGTAGAGCCATCTTGAAAGTGGCTTTGAAATCTCAATTTACGTGTAATAAAAGGGGAGTTTTACAGTCTGCTTAAAGAGAAGATGATGCATGTAAGATTGATTTGTTGATACCAAATTGTTTGAACATTAACAGGAACCTGTCATGACATAAATATGACGTCGGCCATTGCTGATGTAATCAAAGGGTCACATGAAGTCTCACAGCAGCTGGATTGTCACCGCCTGACCTCACATACACTTTGCCATCTTCTGCATGTACAAATGCAGACAGCTACTACACTGATGCTACATAACTTGCCAGACACAGACAAATTAAAGCTGACCTTCAGAATACCAAATAACCAAGCTCCTAACCCCCCTCTACCCATCCTAATTTCAGCCATTTTTTTGTGTATCGAAATTGCGGTAAAAAACAAGGTTTTAAAACAAGGTTTTTTTTTTTTTTTGCTCTGTCCAGGCAGTGTGGAAGGGTACGGTGTGGCGCCACATATCACACCTGGGAATAGTTGTGTGATGCCAAAAGAAAGAAGCACTTGGTGGCCCTTAACCTTAAGGAGTGTAACCCAATCCTTGAGACCATAAGCATGAACGATGGTCTGTCTGAGCCACAGAAACACAGTGAAATGAAAAAAAGCAAGTTCTCCTTAACAGGGTCCATCAGAAACAAGAGAGTCAGTCTTTTGAATAGATGCAGTGGTTGTGAATTAAACCTGCACTGCCCTTATATTTTCCACACAGTGGAAGTAGATTTCCATCTGATGGACTAAATCCGGACAAAGGGAAATTATGTCCTGGTTGAGGTGCAAGGCTGAAATTATCTTATGAATAAAGGAAGTTTGAGTCTCAACACCACATTGTCCAAGTGCAAGACCAGAAAGGGTTCTTTACAAGATAAGGCAACTAGCTCAGATACTTGTCACACAGAGGTGATGGCAAAAAAGAACACAACCTTTAGAGTGAGAGTAGGAGTGGAAATATCCCAGAATGGTTCAAATGGCAGTCCTTAGTGTACCGCAGGAACGAATTTCAGATCTCAAGACGTCATGGGGAGGTGCACATGGGAAACCACATGAAACATACCCTGTGCAAAAAAAGTCTTGATCAAAGAATCGGAAGCCAGTTGTTTCTGGAATAAGATCACAAGGTCAAATCTTGATCAAGGCCTACTTGCAAAAAAGTCCAGGATTCATCCTACTGAGAGTTTTCTGGGAAGAGAGTTTCTTGCCTCCCACCAAGTATAACTTTCAAGTGCAGCAATAGACCTTGCTGGAAATTAGACTTCCTAGCTTTTAGCAAAGTTGGAATCACTGATACAGAGATGCCTCTGCCCCTCAAAACTATTGCCAGCATCTAGAGAAGTCTGGATCTATGAGGACCACTGGAATGCCCTTCAGCTCAATCTTGAGAAGCAACACAGAAAGCAGTTTTCAGGGAGGAAAGGTGTAGATCAGGCTGTACTACTTCAGCTAGCGAATGCCTGTATCTGACAAACCTATCCAGTTTGTTTTTGAACCTAAAAGCCAGGATGTGCACATCCAGTGTCCCCTACCTGCGACACAAGTACTGAAAACACCTCCAAGTGCAGGGACCACTCCCACAGGACCAGGTGCTGCTGACTGAGGAAGTCCCCTGCCAAATGTCCATGCGTGGGGTGTACACACTGGACAAGGCTTGAACATGAAGTTCTGAAAAAAGGACAGAATCCATACTAACCCTCCTGCAGTGCCAAGATGTCTGCTGCTTCCCTGATGGTTGATCCAGCCATGGAGCGGTCCAACTAATTCTAAATCAGTTGACCCTCCAGTCGGGATGTCCAGCATTGCAAAAACAGCCAGATCACCCAAAGTTTCAGAATATTGATTGGGAGATATTACTCCGTTGTTCAAATCCCCTGCACTGACAAGGTGCCCAGGACCCCTCCCCAGCCAAAGAGGATAGAGTCCATTTGAGGGATCTCCCAAGATATTGTAAGGAAGGACTTTTCTGACTCTAGAATGGGATTCCTTGTCCCCCAAGCCAAGGACAACCCACTCTTCAGTTTCAGAGCAAATTGGTACAAGTACTGAACTGTCCAAGTATTGAACTGACTGGGCATTGAGCCGTAGAGGTCTGTAGTGAAAGAGTGTGGTTTGTGCCCCGAAGGAGGCTATAATCAGCCTCAGACCTCCCATGCAGAAATCAAGAGTCAGGCAACTCCCGGGCTGAAAAGTCCATAAAACCCTGCATGACACTGGTGAGATTCAAACAGAATACAGGCAAGGTAGAAGAAATGCCCAAGGGGGGGAGGGGAGACTGTAAAGATGCATAGACGCAAGCAGAAAGCAAATGTTCAGGATGTCAGCATCAGGCACCACAGGGGAAGCATTACATATATCTCCCAAATCATCAGTAGGGTGTGAGCTGGAGGCAGTGGCACTGTCCAATATGCATCTAAGATCTGAGGACAATGTAGCTCAGAGTGCTTCATCAAAATGGCAGAAAAGAAAGCACTGAGCATGTGTGTGCGAAACTCAGCCACAATTTTTTGTTTGCCAGTGTCCAGTCCTACTGTAGGTGACTGTATAACCCTGAAGTCTCTGAACTTCTGTGTCCCTCATTGGACAAGAAAGAAATGACGAATGGTTTTTGAATGCGGACTTTCCATGATGATTTCTGAAAAACACAGCAGATAAAAATATATCACAGGGCACAGGATAAGAATGTAATATATACGCTACATACAGGCAGATATTCAAATCTACCTGGAGAACCGCTTTAAGAACAATGGGAAAGGGTTCTAGTCCTTTCATCTACCTTTTTAATGTCCTGGGATCTCTTACAGCTTGAACCGGTGTTCACTTTGAATACCCAATAACAAACGCAGCTTTATCTTCTTTACCAAGTTAAGTTAATATACACTTTGTTTAGTGCAGGGGTCTCCAAGCTTTCTAAACAAAAAGACAGTTTACTGTCCTTGAGAATTTAAGGTGGGGGCAGACTAGGGTCAGTGGGAATAGAAGATGTCATGGAATCCAGTGGGTATAAACAATGCCCCATCTTTATCAGTGGGAGGACTAGTGCCCCATCATTGGTTTCAATGGAAGGAATTCTGCTCTGTCACTGGTGTCAGTGAGAGGAATTGTGCCTTTTCTTTGGTGTCAGTGGGAGGAATAGTGCCTCATTGTTGGTGTCAGTGGGAGGAAATATTGGCCCATTGTTGGTATCACTGGAAGGAGTTATGCCCCATTGTTGGTGTCAGTGGGAGAAATTGTGCCTTTTCAATAGTGTCAGTGGAAGTCAAACTGACCCACTGTTGGTTTCAGCTACAGAAATTATGCCCCATTGCTGGTGTCAGTGGCTAGAATAGTGATCCATGGACCCGATAAAGACAAGCAAAGGGCCATATTCAGCCCCCAGGCTGTAGTTTAGAGACCACTGGTTTAGTGAACAGTCTCTATTCCTTTACTAACACCAACCCTAACCCCAAAGTCATCAGAAACTGTCAGATAAAATGCTAGCACAAGTAGTTCTTTCTTTGGCAGCATGTGGCTAGACTGAAGTCTCAACAAGCAAAGTTTCAGTTCCAGATGACTAAAGCAAGGAAATTTCCAGAAAAATGGTAAATATTAATGTAGATATTTCCTGGTCCCAAGATAACGATACACTGTACAAACGGAAAAAAAAAAACCCTTCCAAAAATCCAGTAGATGGCAGTGGTGCGGTGGATAAGGATCTCTGAGATAGCTGTGCATTTCATCTGATGCGCTCACCTTTCTGTAGTCGGGTCCTGAGAGTTCAGTGGATACTTGAGCTCGATCACATCTCCGTTTTTCTCTCTCAGTAGACCTTGCTGCTCCGTGTAATACTGCACCAGTTCTGCCAATGTGGCAAATGTCTCTCCACCATACAGGTCATAGAAATCCCCAGTGTTTTGGATTTTGATGTGTGTGACTTCATTGTGCCGCCTGCAGAAATAAAACAGCAATCATTAGATGTATGTGGGAGATACCGCCAGTCTGTAAGTGCTCTATAGGGTTATAGCCTCAAGCAAGTATTATACTGAATGATATAGATATATAGATATAGTACCCCGTGGTATTTTTTTTCCCATCTACACTTCTACTCAAAAAATCTAACCACACAGTAGTATATAGCAGCAAGTAGAGATGTGGGATATGTCCTGCTTGACACCCTACTGGTTGTCCTCTCTGTCAATCTTCAACCTGGGGCAGCACAGTGGCTAAATGGTTAGCACTTCCGCCTGGCAGTACTCGGGTCGTTGGTTCGAATCCCAACCACGGCACAACGACCCGAGTACTGCCAGGCGGAAGTGCTAACAATCCCTGACAGGCAGGGAAAAGGGTTTATGACAGAAGAGACCAATAGGGTCTTCCCTGTCATAAAAATCCTACGTATCAGATTTTTTTTTTTTTTGTGTCATTCTGGTTTAAGGGCAGCACAGTGGCTAAATGGTTAGCACTTCCACCTTGGCAGTACTAGGGTCACTGGTTCAAATCCCAACCACAGCATCACCTGCCTGGAGTTTGCATGTTCTCCCTGTGCCTGCGTGGGTTTCCTCTGGGAACTCCGGTTTCCTCCCACACTCCAAAGACATGCTGGTAGGTTGATTGGATCCTGTCTAAATTGGCCCTAGTAGGTCTATGTATGAATGTGAGTTAGGGACCCTTTACCCGCTTTCTGTCCAGGGCAATTTTCAGCTTTCAGCGCTATCACACTTTGAATGACAATTGAGCGGTCATGCAACACTGTACCCATATGAATTGTTTACCTTTTTTTGAGACAGATAAAGCTTTATTTTGGTGGTATTTATTCACCGCTGAGAGTTTTATTTTTTTTTTGCTATGTAAAATGAAAAAGTCCAAAAATTTAGAAAACAAAAAGTGTTTTTCTTATAAAATTTTGCAAATAATATTTCATCATAAATCTTGGCCAAAATTTATTCCGTTATCTTTTTAGTAAAAAAAAAAAAAAAAAAAAAAAAAAAAAAGCCAAATTAGTTTATAACCAAAAATTATAATTTTTAAACTTTTTTTTACATTTTTATATTATTTTTTATGGGTTTTTGTGGTTTTTTTTTACATACTGTCTCCCTAGCAGTACAATGTCACCATGGTGACACTGTACAACTTGTGGGAGGTGATTAATTTTTTTTTTTTTTTACACCCATATAGGATGTAAAAGCAATCATTTCTCCTTCTCTCTGGCTGCATTCAGCCATTGAGAACTACTGAGTGAGCTGTGATTGGTCACAGCTTGTCACATGATGGGACAAGGCTGTTGTGAATAGCCTTGTACCATGTGACCTCTGATCATTCACAGATTTCACACGTAGTAAGCAATGATGTCACAAGTGACATCTTGGTTACTACTTTGCATGTGATCACTGATTGGCCAATCAGTGATCACATGATCGGGACCTCATACAGACGTCCCATCCGACGATCAGTGTTTCACTGTGTCCAGAGGACACAGCGGGTACCGGATCGTGGTGCTGCACGCTCCCAGGAAGCAAGTACAAGAAGGGTGCGGGGAAGCCGTTTATAAATGGCCACCCAACCCTGCAGTGCTACCATCCGGCCGTTTATATACAACGGCCGGATGGGAGGTGGTTAAAGTACCCTACTGTTCCTACCAGCAGTTTCCAGGTGATAAAATAATGGTGAGCTTGCATATAACCGAGAAAAAAACACAACTAATGTTTAAATATTGAACACATTAAACCTTAACTGCAACCCCAGACAAATGTTCCTAATTTTGGATAGATTGGAGCAGTTCTGGAAACTGTATCAAGTTTTAATTGCTGTCTGTTCCACTGCGGAGATTTCCCTCACTTCCTCTCCTGGTGTCCACATTGTCACTGGTGTAGGACATGAGTGGAGATTTCCAACAGGGACACAGACAGCATTGAAATCCTAAAAGAAATTCTTACTCATGATTGTCTTAAAAAAAAAAAAAAAAAATCTATTATTATACAGTGCCAAAAAGTTTGCTTAGCACTGTACATTATAGTGGGGGACAGTACACGAGACAATACAGTAACAAAACAATATACGAGGGGTTTGAGGGCCCTGCTCTTTGGAGCTTACAATCTAGGAGGGAGGGAATAGTGGTACAGGAGGAAGTGGCTGTGGGGGATGGAGTGGTAGGAGGAGTGGAGGAGGTCGGCTGTTAGGTGAGGGCGGGGTAGGCTTCCCTGAAGAGATGGGTTTTCAGGGTGTGCCTAAAGGAGAGGAGGGTAGGTGACAGTCTGATGGATTGGGTTAGTGAGTTCCAGAGGCTAGGGGAAGTCCTATAGAAGTACTACAGTCGGGCGTGGGAGGAGAAGACCAGGGAGCTTAGAAAGTAGGAAGTCTTGTGAGGACCGAAGAGTACGGGTTGCTTGGTATTTGGGTATGGTTACATAACTGTTCTAAAATCTTCCCAACAAGATAAAATTAAAAATCTAACAAAAGTTCTAAAGCTGGCCATACACTAGCAAATTTTTTTTGAGATGTTTTACAATTTTCTATTGGTTAGTGGGCTCAAATCGATGATCATTTTTGACCAAAGTAATAAGAAAACACAAAGTAGCAGGACTACATTTTTTTCCTCGGACTAACTAAATCCTACCTAAATGTGAATGTGGTTTTCGTTTGCGAAATATCATACATTGTGTAACAATTTTCTAACGAAACCTGTTGAATGTGTTTGCAATTCCACTGAAGTAGTGAGTATGGATGAAACGAAGGGCTTTTGAAAAAAAAATATGAGTCAATGGAAATATCAAATGCGCGGACCAATGATTTTCGAGAATTTCTGCATACACCATGACCAACTTTGCCTAATAGTTTGAAAAAAAAAAATACCTGGAATTACTCTTTACCACTGACATACAGTTGTGCTGAAAAATTTGCATACCCTGGCAGAAACTGACATTTTGGCACGGATATTGAAAATATGACTGATCATGCCAAAAAGCGGTCTTATTTAAGGATAGTGATCATAGGAAGCCATTTATTTAATCACATTATGGCTCATTTTAAAATCATAAATAACAGAAATCACCCAAATGGCTCTGATCAAAAGTTTACATCCGCTGGAATGTTTGGCCTTGGTACAAACACACGCAGGTTAAAATGGCAATTAAAAGGTGAATTTCTAACATCTGTGGCGTTTTAAAAAATTGCAATTAATGTCTGTGTATAGTCAGTGAGTTTGTTAGCTCTCACGTGGATGCAGTGAACAGGCTAGATACTGAGCCATGGGGAGCAGAAAAGAACTGTCAGAAGACCTGCGTGACAAGATAATGCAGTGTTTCTCAACCTTTTCACCTTCAAGGAACCCCTGGTAAAAAGTTTGTGATCTTGGGGAATCCCTGAAAGAACGCTCAGATCTACAGTTCACAGAACATTGGTGCGATCAGCGAGCTGTGATATAACAATCACTTTAAGAAGTTGCATTAAATAAAGAAAAAAAAATAATACTAAAACCTACCTATTTTATGTGAAATGTGTGCTGTTTCTTTCTGCACAGATACTCCATTCTGGGTTGAACTTGAGATAAACAGTGTACAGGGCACAGCACAGAAGCACATTATATGGAGGGCCACATTATATGGAGGGCACAGCAAGGGACATTATGGGGCACAAGACGGCACATCACATGGGGGGGGGGGGGTCACATTATGGGGCACAATAGGGCACATTACATAAGGGGCAGCAGGGCACTTTATGGGGCACACAGAACATGGGGCACATCATAGGGCACACAGCAGAACATGGAGCCCATCATGGGGCACACAGCAGAACATGGAGCCCATCATGAGGCACACAGCAGAGCATGGAGCACATCATGGGGCACACAGCAGAACATGGAGCACATCATGGGGCACACAGCAGAACATGGAGCACATCATGGGGCACACAGCGGAACATGAGGCACATCATGGGGCACACAGCAGAAAACGGGGTACATCACGGGGCACACAGCAGAACATGGAGCACATCATGGGGCACACAGCGGAACATGAGGCACATCATGGGGCACACAGCAGAAAACGGGGTACATCACGGGGCACACAGCAGAACATGGAGCACATCATCTCCTAGATTGTAAGCTCCAAGGAGCAGGGTCCTCGAACCCCACGTGTATCGCATTGTATTGTTATTGTACTGTCTCGTGTATTGTCTCCCATTGTAATGTACAGCGCTGAGCGAACTGTTGGCGCTATATACTGTATAATTATAATAATGGGGCACACAGCACATCACGGGGCACATCACGGGGCACACAGCAGAACATGGAGCACATCACGGGGCACACAGCAGAACATGGAGCACATCACGGGGCACACAGCAGAACATGGAGCCCATCACGGGGCACACAGCAGAACATGGAGCCCATCACGGGGCACACAGCAGAACATGGAGCCCATCACGGGGCACACAGCAGAACATGGAGCCCATCACGGGGCAGAACATGGAGCCCATCACGGGGCACACAGAACATGGAGCCCATCACGGGGCACACAGCAGAACATGGAGCCCATCACGGGGCACACAGCAGAACATGGAGCCCATCACGGGGCACACAGCAGAACATGGAGCCCATCACGGGGCACACAGCAGAACATGGAGCACATCACGGGGCACACAGCAGAACATGGAGCATCATCATGGGGCACACAGCAGAACATGGAGCACACAGCAGAACATGGAGCACATCATGGGGCACAAAGCAGAACATTGAGCCCATCATGGGGCACACCATTGAGTGCAGGTAAAACAGCAGGGCACACAGCAGGGCATACCGAAGGGTACAGTGTTGTAGCGTTTCCTTGAAATGCAGAGTAGCGCAGGAAGCGGCTATAATAAGATCTCTCACATAGAACGATCCTTCCCGCCGGCTCCTCCGTTCTTGTTGTCCATCCCAGGTGATGTCACATACAAGCACCTGGGGTGGATGGGAGGATAGGAGGGTCTGGCAGGAAGAATCGCACTAAGAGAGGTCTTATAACAGCCGCTTCCCGTGCTGTTCTGCATGTGTTGGCTGAGACTCGATTTACCCATCAGCTGTCTGATTGACGGGTAGATTGCTGGGGACGCGGAACTATGGTTGAGAAACACTGAGGTAATGGAACTTCATAAAGATGAAAAACGATATAAAAAGATATCCGAAGCCTTGAATATGCCAGTCAGTACTATTCAACCATTCCCCTCCCTCCTAGATTGTAAGCTCGAAAGAGCAGGGCCCTCGATCCCCTCATGTTTTGCATTGTATTGGTATTGTTCTGTCACATGTTCTGTCCCCCTTTGTAATGTACAGCGCTGAGCGAACTATTGGCGCTTTATAAATACTGTATAATAATAATAATAAAATAATATCAAGCCAAGGTCATGTAGACCAAGAAAGATTGCAGCCACAACTGCCAGAAAAATTGTTCAGCATACAAAGAAAAGGCCACAGGTAATCTCAGGAGAAATACAGACCGCTCTGGAAAAAGAGGGTGTGGTTGTTTCAAGGAACACGATAGGACGACGAACAAAAATCAGCTGCATAGTCGAGTTGCCAGAAAGAAGCCTTTGCTGTGCCAATGCCACAAAAAAAAGCCCGGCTACAATATCCCTGACAACACCTTGATATGCCTCACCGGGCTTGATATACGATAATAAATTGCATCATATGATTGCTATCCCTAAATAAAAGACAGATTTGTGGCATGATCAGTCATATTTTCAATATCAATGCCAACATTTCATGATTTCTGACAGGGTATGCAAGCATGTGAACACAACTTTAGATAAATTCAATCACAGACCTATTGCTCTAATGAGATCATAGCAATCAGTATGTACCGGTAACCTGTAAAAACTGAAACCTGACTAATGACTTATCAGTGGGGTATTCCCAAAATATAATACGCTTTATTTCTGGCCAATCCAGTTTCATGTGCAACTGAATACCCTTTGTTTGTAGGTTTCTTTCTGCTAGCATAGAAGCTATGAATGAATAATAGGTGCATCTGCAACCCATATAGCAGAGAGATAATAATGAATAATGCATCCGTATCTATAAACCACAACTGACCACAGAAAAGGTTCTCTTTCACCATAGTTCTTATTTACAACAGTTTATACAGTGCAGGATCAGTAGGTAAACGTCTTACAAGGTTCAAGGAACTGTTTGGGTTTAAAACTGGAAACCAATTACTGCACTTACAGTACTGTATGTATTCATTCAAAAATATTGAAATGTACTTTTAAACTCAGCTAGTGTAAGCACAATCAGCCTCTCGTAATCCCTCTTACAGCGGGATACAATATTTGTCCAATGTTTAGTCCAATACTTGTTTTACAAATCAACATTTATCACATAAAAGAGCCGTCCTACACCAACGTGGGACAACTAAAGAGACAGCACAGCCAATTGCTTTGCCGCTCCCTTTGATAGAGACCATAGGCAAGGTATATATACATACATATGCAGACTGGGTTGTTGTGTGTTTCAGGACCAGTTCACATTATATGCATTTCAGTGTGCTTTTTTTTTTCTGCATCCAAAACGCACAGAAAGTAGGTTATTTGGTTGCAATGTCATAGTTCACATCAATGCTTGCAGTTTCAGTTGCAGAAAAAAAAAAGTAGAACAGGCTGCATTTTTCCTGCACAGAACTGCTCTGGTAAAACAAATCAAAAACGCACATGTCCCAATTTAACCGTTTCAATACCGTGCAATTTTACACCTTCCTGCCCAGGCCATTTTTCAGGTTTCAGCGCTCTCACATTTTGAATGACAATTGCGCAGTCATACAACATTGTACCCAAACTAAAATTTTATCAATTTTCTTCACACAACTAGAGCTTTCTCTTGGTGGTATTTAATCACCACTGGAGTTTTTATTTTTTGCTAAATTAAAAAAAGACCAAAAAGTTTGAAAAAAAAAACACATTTTTCTTTGTTTCTGTTATAAAAGTTTACAAATAAATAATTGTTCTTCATAAATTTAGGCCGAGATGTATTCTGCTACATGTCTTTGGTGAAAATAACCCAAATTAGGATGTATTTTTTAGTTTGTAGGAAAGTTATAGAGTTCACAAACTATGGTATAGATCTGAATATTGATCAATCCTGAAGTACTGACAGCCAATCTAATTTCTTGAGGTCCAAGAATGTCAGAATAGTACAGATATCCCCAAATGACCCCTTTTTGCAGAGTAGACACTCCGACGTACTTCATAAGAGGCATGGCGAGTTTTTTGAAGTTGTATTTTTTTGTCATAATTTTTCGGAAAATTAAAAAATTAAAAAAATTATTTTCACTATTTTTTTTTTTACATACTGTCACCAGTGCAGTACAGTGTCATCATATAACTGGCATGGCGGTGAACAGCAACACTGACTGGTGACAGTATGAAAAATATATATATATATATATATTTTTTTATTTTTTAATTATATTTAATTTTTTATTAAATTTTTTTTTATTTTTTTTAAGATTTTTTTTTCATATTTTACTATGACCAAAGTAGTACAATGTTACCATAGTAATATTGTACTACTTTGGGGAAGTGATCAGTATTTTTTTTTTTTTTTTTACACAATTTGCTTATAGCAAAGAATTACTTTGCTATAAGCAAGTATTTACCTGAATGAAATCGATTCATTCAGCTTTTTTTTTTTTTTTTTTTTTGTGCTTAGCTGTGATTTGGTCACAGCTAATCACATGACATGTGCATGTTATTAGCTGTGACCATTCACAGCTAGGCACTAGTATACAATGGATGGCATCATGAATGAAGCCATCCATTGTATACAACTGTCATGTGACCTGCTGTGATTGGTCACAGCAGGTCACATGGTACCAGCAACGGGAGCCGGTACTCGGATCTGTCATCGGCCGTGTCCGAGGCGCACGGCCGGTGACAGATCGCACTGCTGCGCCGCTCTGCATTAGCGCAAACGGCGCATGTGCGGGAGCACGCCAAATGGCGTGCACCCGGAATGCAGGGACACATTTGAAGCCGCCAAACGGCCATTGGCCGGGCGGCTAATGGTTAAACTTAAGAAAAAGAGGGGGGAATCATTAACTAGAACGCATCAAAAAACGCACTGGAACGCGTCAAAGATGCAAAGCTGCACTGGAACACACCAAAAAACGAGTCAAAACATGCATTCGGAAACACATCCGGAATGCATCTGACCTACATTTCTATAGTGTGAACCAGCCCTTAGTGCTGATCAAGTAATCTGATACACTATATTGCCAAAATTATTGGGACACCACTCCAATTCATTGGATTCAGGTGTTTTAATCACCTCCATGGCTACAGGTGTATAAAATCAAGCACCTAGGCATGCAGACTGCTTCTACAAATATTTATGAAAGAATGGGTCACTCTCAGGAGCTCAGTGAATTCAAGCGTGGTACCGTGATAGGTTGTCACCTGTGCAATAAATCCACCTGTGACATTTCTTTGCTACTAAATATTCCACAGTCAACTGTTAGTGGTGTTATAACAAAGTGGAAGCAACTGGGAACAGCAGCAACTCAGCCACAAAGTGGTAGGCCACAGAAAATGACAGAGTGGGGTCAGCGCATGCTGAAACGCACAGAAGTCGCCAACTGTCTGCAGAGTCAATAGCTAAAGACCTCCAAACTTTGTATGGCCTTCAGATTAGCACAACAGTGCATAAAGAGCTTCATAGAATGGGTTTCCATGGCTGAGCAGCTGCATCCAAGCCTTAAATCACCAAGTGCAATGCAAAGCGACGGATGCAGTGGTGTAAAGCATGCCACCACTGGACTCTAGAGCAGTGGAGATGAGTACTTTGGAGTGACCAATCACACTTCTCTGTCTGGCAATCTGATGGACATGTCTGGGTTTGGCGAGTGCCAGGAGAACAGTACTTGTGCCAAGTATAAAGTTTGGTGGAGGGGGATTATAGTGTGGGGTTGTTTTTCAGGGGTTGGGCGTGGACCCTTAGTTCCAGTGAAGAGAACTCTTAAGGTGTCAGCATACCAAGACATTTTGGACAATTTCATGTTCCCAACAATGTGGGTACAATTTGGATATGGCCCCTTCCTGTTCCAACATGACTGTGCACCAGTGCACAAAGCAAGGTCCATAAAGACATGGATGAGTGAGTTTGGGGTGGAGGAACGTGACTGGCCTGCACAGAGTCCTAACCTCAACCCGATAGAACACCTCTGGAATGATTTAGAGTGGAGACTCAGAGCCAGGGCTTTTCAACTGACATCAGTGCCTGACCTCACAAATGTGCTTCTGGAATAATGGTCAAACATTCCCATAGACATCCTCCTAAACCTTGTGGACAGCCTTCCCAGAGTTTGGGGTGGAGGAACTTGGGTGGCTTGCACAGAGTCCTAACCTCAACCCGAAAGAACACCTTTGGGATGCATTAGAGCGGAGACAGGCCTTCTTGTCTGACATCAGTGCCTGACCTCACAAACACATTCCCACAGACAAACGTCTGAACCTTGCAGACAACCTTCCCAGAAGAGTTGAAGCTGTTATAGCTGCAAAGGGTGGGCCAACCCAATATTGAACCCTACAGACTAAGATTGGGGTGCCATTAAAGTTCATGTGCGTGTAAGGGCAGGCGTCCCAATACTTTTGGCAATATAGTGTAAGTTAGCAGAGCTGAATATGTCCTGGATAGTCGTCTTTCATCTGTATACATACCTTCCTTTGAAGGAAGCAGATTGGAGGTGGAATAGGGATAAGTAGAGGTAGTCTGTACCTACCTCTTTCCCACTGTAAATTAAATAGATTCTTCCATCCACACTAAACCGTGTGGATGGAGGAATCTCCCCTGTTGGTTTTTGTATCAATACCCCAAGAGTGGTTGCATCTGATAATTTTCCACTAGGCCAAAATTCGAGGCTTTATTCACAGTGAATACCAAATCACATCCTAGCAAAAATCCTGTTTTATTTTCCTTGCACATGACTGGTCATTCAAAGTGAATACAGGTTCACCTTATCTACTAACATTCACTTTGCCTCTACACCTAGAAAAGTTTAGGAACGTCAAGCTTCTTCAGCACTGCTAAAATGTGATCATGCTAATGATGTGAAAGGACACTGGCACTCCACCTGCTGGCTGCATAGAACAATACATAATATTAATATATATTGAAGAAGTGCAGCATTAAAAAAAACAAAAAGGAAAAGTATTAACAAATACATACATACATATATATATATATATATATATATATATACACACACATATATATATATATATATATATATTTATTATTTCATTTTTAAAGTGGTGGGTGTCATTCATTGACATTTGTGCTGCAATGGTATGACCATAAACTCACATCAAACAACCTGCAGACATTCAGCTGCTTCTGTTATCGTCCCTCCTCAGTGTGTAGATTTTCCTTCCTAAAGCTCCCACTTCTTCACACACATCTCTATAATACAGAATAGTGGCTATTCACACCATAACAATCACCCACTACCTGCCATTGTCAACTTTTTGATGCCTGAATGGTCTACTGCCGTATTTTTGATTACTTTAAAAACAAGGAAGAACTGACATTTTTTGGAAATGGTTCTCCAAGCTGCCAAATTCAGATATTTGCAAAAATTAATGCAAGTTAGCTAATTTTTGGAAATAATTTATAAAATGTGATAAAGAGCAGCAAAGCAACTCACTGCTGTAGACTGCTTGAAGAATAACTGGCACATATGCATTTCTCTATTCTGGGTGGAGGATCTTCCATACTGTCTGGGGCACAGATGGGGAGATTTACTCCCATGCACGGAATGTCCCTGGCAGGACAGCAGCTTAGCTGATCATTGACCTATGATTGTCATTGTCCTGCGTAGTCCATTTATTCCACTAAAAGGAGGAGTTCACAAATGACTGTATAAGAATAACACCAACAGCTACTAAACACCCTCTTTTACTGTAGAGTCACTTTGCTGAAGTAGACTAACATAGGGAATATATGGTATAAACATATGGTATCCTTTGATATTGTGGTTATTTACCAGATTATCCTTAGTGTATTGTCACGTATGCCTGAATAGAGCCCTCTCTCTTGCTTGACAGATAATTTCTAAAAAATATTTTATAATGCACCCCTCCAATGGAAATATTCTAGCCTATGTACAAACAGATCAGCTCACATAAAACATTCAAAGGATGAGAGCATCACAAAGTTTGTTTCAGTAATGTAATAATTTTATTTTTCACCAAATGATAATCCAAAAATCCAATATGTTTCAAGGGCTTAAAGCTCTCCCTTCATCAGGGCCTGAAGTGGGTACAAACTTGTTTTGGACAACAAATGTAAAAAGATACGGATAACATGAGATCGGTATCGCCAGGCTAGCAACATTGGAACTGGACTGATTCAAGCTTTGTGACACTTATTCTAATTATTTATCGTGTATAAGGTAATGGTGGAGGAATCATTGCGGAGGTCCAGACAGTGGTGAAGATCTGGTAGAAGACTGATCACCAGTAGCATCTAAATAGCATCATGGGCCCCTTGGCAAAGTAATGCACTGGGGCCCCCTACTAGCCTGACTCAGGTGTCCCCATCACAGTCTCCCCATTCATTAGGTGTCCCCCATCAGAGTGTCCCATCACAGTGTTGTCATACATCAGAGTTGTGCCCCTTCTGTATTTACAGACCACAAATCCTGCTCCCAGCTGCAATGAAGGTGAGTGCTCAGTCTCAGTGCTAGCTCTCTTCTGCCCCCCGCAGGAGGAAAAAGCTGAATCCTCTCTCCAGCAGAAGAAAGCCACTGTGCTTCTTGACAGGAGTGACAATGCAGCTACTCCTGTCAAACAGCAGCAGCACAAGCAGCAATCCCATCCCCCATCACAGGGCCCGGGCCCCACTTGTCTTGGTCGTGATCATAGAACCCCATACACCTGTTGCCCCTGGGTGGTGCCCAATCATTATGACTGCCCTGCTAACAGCCCTATTGGAGAAATCCTGTGCAGTTTTTCTTTAAAGGCAGCCTGCAGTTAAAATTGCTTTAAAGCATAAAGTTTGGAAATTAAAGCCTAACTCAAAGCAAATAAAAAAAAAATTTAAATAAATACTGGACACCAGCCAGTATACAAAATCTTAGGCTTCAATACTTACCTTCAACCTCAGAAGGTTCAGGTCTTTAAAACGCTGAGCTAGTCAGTAGAATCACAAACTCCAAACGTTATTCTCTCATTAGTGGCTAACACAGAACAACACACTGATGCTCCTAAGAGCGTCTAGACCAGACATTCTCAACCAAGATTCCATTGAACCCTAAGGATCCTCCATAGGTGGTGAAGGGTTCCTTGAGTCTTGGCTGATTGACCTCCCATCTGACCGTGTCAGCATAATTCCAGGGCAAAAACTACTTGGCAAAACTAGCAGAATGATCCAATTATCTTTTTAGTTATCTGTAAGGATGGCATTCTGATCACTGCTATAAGGGTTGCTTTCTTCCTACGGACCTCCAACGCTATGGACCTTTTCCCCATTGACACCTGATGAAATGGGTTTATTAAGAGTTCCTTGAGACCTGAATTTTTAATAAGTTCCTTTGGAGTAAAAAGATTGAGAAAGGCTGTTCTAGAGATAGGAGTACAAAATGATTTAAAGTCTTAACATGATTTACTGCTTTGAAAGTTGTATTTAGAGTTTTAAATTACATAAGGACACTAGGATGGACATATACGTTAACTCAATATACATGCTGTTCATTTTGCTTGTATGGCAGTGCAGCAATTGCAAACATGTATGCCAATTTATTTTTTATTGCTCTTTGGCCCCCTACAAGATTCTAAGTGAACAGTAAAAACCATTCAAGGGACCAACCTCTACCTTACTCCATTGGAAGCTACAATCAATGTTTAGGGAAGAGTTCTTCTTTAGTAGCTCCTCTTAACGCAAAGCTTACACAAAGCAATGTTAATAGCCTTTTATTGGACAGATATACGCTCCAAGTGGCTTATCTTGTAATTGATCTTCTTACAACAGTTGCCTGGCTAGTAAGCCAAGTATACTGTCCGCCATGCAGAAAAATCCATCTAAAAAAAAATATCATTAACAATGTAGCCCAGCAAGTATGAAGAATGTGAAAAAACACATTAAACATTACATTCAGGTAAAAACATTAAAATGCATACTAAAAAAAATGCACTAATACATTTTAAACTCTATAAAAGGCAAATAGCTATGCTTAAAAAATTAAATTAGCCTTAAAGCTGCATATTTTTCTTGCACGGCTATTTAAAGTGAAAATGATGCCCGCTTGCATACAAGCAGTTTTGTTTTCCTCTTTAAATCCTGATGTGACTGCTTTAAATTCTGTAACTGCGGAAGAAAGCGTGTGCATACAAAATGAAATATTAATCCCTTTGTTGAAAAGTGAGCGAACCGGTTTGCAATATGCCTCAGGTTATATCTTTCACTGATTCATTTCTGTATCAGAGAAACCTCTCTCTACAGCAGTGCTTGAAATAACAAGAGGAACTCAAGGTTGTACAGTTTCACCTGGCACAATAGATGTTGCTGCAGAGTTTTGTTTTTTTTTTTTTTCTTTATTCCATGAAGACACAATATATATTACATAAGACCTAATTCACACTATATTATGGGAAAAAACTGTGTAAAAGCTATAAAAGTCCATTTGTGAAACACCTGATCACAGCGGGTCTGATCAGGTCAGTCTGTCATTCATCCCTCTGGACACGCTGGTGTAAACAGATTCCCCCACCTCTGGGTTCGACCCAGTTCAATAAAAAAAAAAACAAAAAGTGGACCGGTCTTTTTC